ATATATATATATATATATATATTTATTTATTTATTATTTTTTTTTTTACACAAAACCTATACAGTGCATGTGGAAAGTATTCATAGCGCTTCACTTTTTCAGTTTTCAGATTTTTTATTTTTTAATAAATTTGCAACAATTTCAAAAAAATCTTTTTTTCACATTTTCATTATGGGGTATTGTGTGTAGAATTTTTAAGAAATGAATTTAATACATTTTGGAATAAGATTGTAACATAAAAATGTGGAAAAAGTAAAGCACTATGAATACTTGTCATATACACTATGCACTATATATATATAGCTATGGATTTTACCTTCAAAAGAGGTATAACCCTAATTTTTTATTGAAACAAATAAAACATTGGTTATTCTGGCCTTTTATTGCCATTGCCATGGTGAGAAATTGTTGTATAATGTTATAAAAATATATTTGGATTGAAATATTATCAGAAATTTGCTGAAAACAAATTATATATAATCATTTTATACTCAAACCTAATAAACATTTCTTAATAAATCCAGTAGAACCAGAAAAACTTAACATTTTCAAATGGTCTCTTAATTTTTTTAATAGCTTTATGATTTAATTTATTATTTTAAAGTCCCAACTTACTCAACCACCTCCCGCTGCGACATGTCCAGGTACCGGTTGCTGACCCACTGGATCTGAAACCAGTCTCTGAATCCCTCATTCCCACAGCACTGGAACTGCATCTGCAGCAGGTCTACTGTGCGCTTCAAGAAGCAGCGTCCCGGTGTGTCCGTGTCCTTGTAGTAGCGCATAGCGTCACGTAACCCTAATGTTAGCGACTCCTCCAGCTGGCTGTGCATGCTGTAGCACATCAGCGCACCCACCAACACGCTCAAAGTGAAGAAAAACATACAAATGATGTACGGCAACATCACCAACTTCCAGTGCAGGAACCTACTGGAGTCCACACAGTCATAGCAGATCTTTCCACCCAGAAAGTTAATCACACAGGCTATAAGACCCACCACAATCAGCATGTTTGGGACAGATTGGAGTTGACCCTCGGCCATTAGATCCTGTCGCTTATAAATTTCCACTTTCAGAAAGATGCCCAAGCTAAAGAGGATGATTCCCGTTACAACAGAAATCCAGTTGAGCACCCACAAGACCTGGGCTAGCTTGTCTCTTTTAGTTTTGGTGAATCTTACCGGCAATACTGCCATTCTTGACACTGTGCTACTTTTTCAAAGTTGCAAATAATAACACTTGAAATTGAACTAATAGGAGTTCTAATTCATGTGTAAATTGGACATTTTTAATGTAAGTCAATCAGAAGGTTTACAAGGTTGATGGGAGATGACATGAATGGGCAAATTATTCTTAGCAGTTAGCATCTTATGCTAACTTAGTCAGATTCTGTCAATGGCAATGCCTTGATCCACAATTGCCAAACAGTATTGACGTGGCACCCTCATTTAGATTTGTGAGAACAACTGGATATCAGAGGTTTATAATAAAGGAATGTCAAGGGGAAATGGATGCCATAAGTATAATGAATTTATTTTATAGTTTGTTGGATTGTCTAATCTGTCAAATTGCTTAGAGATGCCATACACGGTCCTTTAGAAATGTAGTGAAACTGATTTTATGAAATGTACATCTAAGAGAAAAAGAGAAAAAAAAACAGTGATAGAGAGATGAGTGGAGGAATATTATTGCATATGTAATATCATTAATTATTAATATTTCGTTTTAGTATTAATGCCTAACCTAAAAATGTAAGCATGGATGCCCACATAGCAAAATTACTCTGGCTCAGCTCTGGTCTACACAATCAGCTTTAGCTTGGCCCATATGCTGCAGTGAAGTACAGTACATGACTGGACCAAATATGGCTTCCAGACAAAGGCCAAACATGCACCATATCTGGGCCAAGTTTCAGCCAAGTTAATAATCCGTAACTGGCCCTGAACTAGGCCAGATATGTTGGTGTGTCATTACTGCAATGATGATAAATGATACATGCATGAAGTATTGCACTTTGGACACATTATGGGCATGTTTTTTTTTTTCTTTCTAGTAACAACTTGATTGGTAGAATGTTTTTCTGTACTCAAAATTAATTAAAATGCAACTATGATAAAAATCATCTTTTGTAAGCTGTTTGGACAGATATGTGTGCAGGTATAGTATGTGTCCACAGTCAAATTGGAGTGATATAAACACAATAAGTCTCTTTTTACAATTTCCTGACGTTAAAATAGGAGCCAAATCCCACCCATTTTGAGGCCCAATGCAACGTGACGTAAAAGTGCTGTTTCCTTGCCTCACGAATTTATTGACAGCCTTGTATTAACATTTCTCCATATAATCATATCAACAAGACAGAAGGTGCTTATATCAACTAGGATTAAATGGGGTCAAATCTTGTAGGTGCACTTTAAATGTATTTTCAACAACCCAGGGTCATTCTGAAAATGTAGTCCCGTGGACGAATCTGGAGATCGTGAAATACGTCCAGGGAGGTACGTATTTTTGCAGTTTTGTTTTTGCAAATCCACGAGAGGCCGATGTGTGTGCTTTTTTTGTATCTCAAATGTCTCTCGCGAGTGTCATTTGCTGTTCTCGCGTAAATCCACCAGAGGCTGCTGTCGAATGACAGGCTGTCTGACTGACTAAATGATTGATTGTGTCACTGGCAAATCGACTGACCCACCCTCCTCCTACCCTAAACCCAACCAATTTTATGGATCAACCCACTCACCTGCTTACTTAACTGAACCCAACCACCAATTTACAAAAGCCATCCAGAAAAAGAAAAGCCCTCGTCTGATTTTTAGCACATTTTCAGATTTTATCACATTCTCACCCTATTATTAACTTGCTCACTTTATTTTTTGCGCTCTGTTTTAGTTTTACCTGATTTCTGGAACCGCTCTTTCCCTGACTCGAACCCGGTCATCGTCATCGTGGTCAACCCCTCTCTGCGAGCTAACTGGACAAACTGGTTGCAGTGGGAAAGCATGATTAAAGTTGTTGCACCTCCACACGTTAGTAAGCGGTCAGCCGGTAAGTGCCAAAAGGAACGGTGTCACACCGCCCCATAGTGTTTGCTTAAAAAATTAAATGTAGCCATACATACCTCCAGCTGCATAATTTGCAGTCTCCAGAAACATCCACGGGACTAAGTTTTCAGAATGAGCCTGTGTTGATCTTAAATGTGGGTCAAGAAAGGCCAAACTTATGTGGCCCACACATCAAATCTGAATCAAATACTACATTTGACATCTGGCCCAAGTCTTGGGTGCCTTCTTAAAGACGGTGCCACCTCTGCCAAACCCAGGTCATGTTTGGCCCACATGCTGTATGACAGTGCTGGATGAATGCCTGCTGTGTCAGCTTCATGCCAAATCTGGGCCAGAATTTTTTGCTACCTGGGTGATTAGTAATATCAAAGATTCTTTACACAAAAATGAAAAATCTGAATGTGCTGATTGGACAGGCTTGTACTAAGTCAAACATGCTTAGTGAGATGATCCATAACTGTAATAAACAGCTTATTACTCACCCACACTCATGTTTATATAACCTTCAATGGCATCCTTCCCTCATCCTGGTGATTTTTTCCCCCATCAATCGTCCTTGTGCCATGGCATGATCGCAACTTGCTCCTGAGGGAAATGGGAGATGAGACTCTGATTGGTTTAATGCAAGTTATGGCCAAAACACAGCCTTAACTCATTAAAAGAATAAGGGCCTACACACACTATGCTATCCGAACCGTGCCCAGGCACGTTTCCCAGATCGTTTGAAAAGTGTGAGTGCGCTGAATCGAGCTCATGCACAGTTCATTTGGCCGGCCCTGGCCGGGTTGGAAGAGGTGTGCCTGCACGCGGTTCACTTGGGCTTTGGCTTGGTACGCTTGTGTGCGAGTGCAAAACGTGCCTAAGCCCAAACTGAAAGCGAGACATGACTTTTAAGGGACTGATTCATATGGATTTATTAATCATTCTTACTGTTCAGTGAATGCAAACTGTTATAGGTTATTAAAGTCGCAAACCCCTCACTGCACGTCAGCTGCGCACCTTCAGCCAACCTCCTAATTCCTGCAGCACAAGGACTTTATGACTGTTTATGGGCATCAAAAACTTCTGATCTGTTCGGTGAAATATTTGACTGCGTGTCGCTGCATGTCAAACGATATAACTAAAGAAATCTTCATTGTGCTGAGCAAGAGCGCTTCTGACCAGTGCATCATCGATGACGTAAGCATGCCCAGACCCGAATGTAATGTGAGTGCAGGCCATCGGGTGAGACGGGAAGGGGGACAAGCATGCTTTGGCCTGGTTCAAGGCAACTATACATAGTGTGCAACATTTTGAGACCATGCTGATAGCAAACAGGGTGTGCTGATAGTTTTAATTTATTCGTTTATTTTTTTGGATATTTAGTAATATTAAAGGTTGTTTACACAAAAATGAAAATAATACTCATTAAGCCATTAAGATCTAAGTGACCTTTCTTTTTTCTTCAATATTACATTTATTTAAGAACTCAATGCATCACCAGAAGCATATGTAAATACTCTGTAAAAATAAACATTATTTTACCGGTAATTGTCTGTATTTTTTTTATTTAAATTTTTTAAAAGTATTTTATTTTAAAAGTTTTTTCTTTATACAGTGAAGTACCTGTTGTTTCACAGATATGTTCTGTTATAAAAAATTCTAACATTAAATGTATAGTTATTGCTTGTTTTTTGGTATTAGGTTGTTTTTCAGTTTGTTAAAGGAAAAGTTCTGTGTTTTTAGAGAGTAACATGTAATTTTATGTCAATATTTACATATAATACCTGTAAAAATAGGGAAACAAAAATTTTGTCAAATTGTTTTTAGTGAAGATAGCAATCATACGAAGATTAGCGTGAGGTTAATTATGTCAAATAATAGCCGATTGTTTGTAGGCTGCATATAATGCAGTCACTGTAAACTATAAAATGTTTATTTTACTACTCTAAAAATGTTGCTATGCTAATTGTTATGATCACCAGTGATCAAGCGGCTGCGGATTGCTGGAAGACTACATGCAACTCCCAGCATGCGTCTTGCACACTTTTAACAATATAAACTCAGCACACACAAACACATCATTGCTGAGTCTTAAACTGTTTAGTGAGCATTACGACATGTTTTCCTTTGCCTTGACACATTTGGCTTCTTTGTTATTTTGTTTGCCACATTTACGGTTGGGATTATCTGTACGCACCTGTTTGTTCTTGTTTCAATCTTTAATTGCAAGGTGATTCTGTTTGTAAACTGCTATTTGATCCTCACTTTTGTTGTGCAGGCATCCTTACACGAAACTAACCTTGATTTTATTGTTAAACAATGACCAAATGTGTTATTTGTAAAAAAATAAAAATAAATAAATAAATTAGTTATATAATAATTTTGTATTTTTTCAAGCAAATTGTTTTTGTTTTACCAACATATCCTTAAAACAATATTTGTTAAATTATATTATAGTTCATATTTATATTTTTGGTGATGCAGTGGTGCAGAAGGTAGTGCTGACGCCTCACAGCAAGAAGGTCTCTGGTTCAAGCCTCGGCTGGGTCAGTTGGCGTTCCTGTGTGGAGTTTGCGTGTTCTCCCTGGGATCGCATGGGTTTCCTACGAGTGCTCCGGTTTCATCTACAGTCCAAAGACATGCAGGACAGGTGAATTGGGTAGGCTAAATTTTCCATAGAGTATGAGTGTGAATGAGTGTGTGTGGATGTTTCCCAGAGATGGGCATCAGCTGTGTAAAAATGTGCTGGATAAGTTGGCAGTTCATTCCACTGTGGCGACCCAGGATTAATAAAGGGACTTAGCTAAAAAGAAAATGAATGAATGAATGAGTCATATTTACAGTGTTTTATGACAACAGCAATTTTTTGTAATTAAGCTTTTTTAATCATTCTTTTAATACACACACACACACACACACACACACACACACACACACACACACACACACACACACACACACATATATATATATATATATATATATATATATATATATATTTAAATGTATGTCAAAAGTGGAAAAACGTGAGGAGTAATTTTACATATTACTATAAATATGTATCTGTATAATCACATTAATTAATGTGTATAGTTGCAGTAATAACCTGCACAAGTACAGTAATAATCATTATAATCACACTAGTTAATTTGTTTAATTATTGTAATAACCAGAATAATTACAGTAACAATCATTAAAATCACATAATCACACATATTAATTAATTAATCTCTATAATCACAATAATAAAAAATTATATGTTTACAGTAATAATTTGTAAAATGGCAGCAATTACCCCCCCCCCCCATTTTTTTCTCAGTTTAAATGCAATTTATCAACAGTAATAAACTGTAATTTACAGTACTGTAATTTGAGCATAAAGTTTGCTCTGTATTTTTACAGTTTTTGCATGTAATTTTGTGAAATGGTTATTTTCATGTAATTTAACTGAATATGTCTGAAAGCCCTGCTTTCAGTTTTTTCATAGTTTTTTTTACAGATTTTTTTACAGTGTACACCACAGTTTAAGAAGTTTTTTTATGTTTTATTGAAGAATAAATTCACCTGATTTCACCTGATTTCCTGAAGATGAGTAAAAGTTAAATGCACATTTAAAAAAAATAAATAGCTGAAGAGCAAAGGTTTTTGTTTGTTTTGCTATTATTTGTTGCATTGTTGCAGTCCCCAACCAATTACAGTATCTTTCTTTTGCCATGCACATTTCAAAAAGCTCAGAATACACTATAGTCGTGAGTGCTCAAAATAGCACATGAAGCTAAATGCGTTCACTTGAATGAACAGGCTTGTCCTAATTCAAACATGGTCAGTGAGATGATCCCTATATTGTATAAGGGTAGTAATAAACAGTTTATTACTCACCCGTTCATGTTTATAAAACCTTCAATGGCATCTTTTCTTCATTAAGGTGATTTTTCTTTTCCATCAAATGTTCCTAGGCTTTGTGTAACAATCAGAATGCATTGTTTGCTAATGAAATCTGATGTGGTGTGTGTCTGTGTTTGTGTGTGTGTGTGTGTGTGTGTGTGTGTGAGTTAATGTCTGACGCAGACTCAGCCCTGACCTCTCTAATTCCTTTTAATCAGTAATCAGCCCAGTTGGATTTGCTAGAGAACCTTCTGCCACCAGCAAAAATCTCACTCAATATGATGTGTGTGTGTGTGTTTGTGAGAGAGAAAGAGAGAGAGAGAGAGAGAGTTAGAAAGCAAAGAAGGAAAAAGGAATCCTGTAGTCATTGATGTTTTGTCACTGATGAAATGGTCACAACACATGACATTACTAATTTCAAAAAATATATATTCAAGTTAGGGCGAGACGGTGGCTCAGTGGTTAGCACTATCGCCTCACAGCAAGAAGGTTGCTGGTTCAAGTAAGTTGGCATTTCTGATTGGAGTTTGCATGTTCTCCTCAAATTGGCGTGTGTTTCCTCTGGGTGCGCCGTTTCCCCCACAGTCCAAAGACATGCGCTATAGGAGAAATGAATAAACTAAATCGGCCTTAGTGTATGTGT